TAACCATTCCCTTGAGAATTTCTATATCATTACAGTTTTTCCATCTACTTGAATATCAGCAACATAGGTATCGAAAATAGTTGCATCATGATTCGATATAAATTTATCATCTTTAAATGCAAATAACAGACATGTTTTACCACACATTCCATCTCCAACAATAACTAATTTTTTATTCTTTCGTAAATTTCCATTCTTACTAGTTGCCATCTAGAATTAAAATAACAAAAAAAACGTTTTTTAACTTAAAATTACCTATTCCTTTTCTGTTAAAATAAAAAAATAAAATTTGTTATTGTTTGTATATTTATGTAAAGTAATGGCTGGCATCGACAGTTGACAGGTATATTTCATTACAATCGAAAATAAAAAAGACGAGGGAGAGAGAGAGAAACAAAACACTGAGACGAATGTATGAAACTGAATCAGTATTCTTTCTCTCTCTTTTTTTTCGCGAGACGAGAGAACCGAAGAAAAATAGAACGATTCAACTCTCTCTCTCTGTTTTTTTTTCGTCTTTCTTGGTTGATGCAGTTTGTTATATTAACTATAAGCAGAAGAGAAGAGAAAAACCGACACATGTGATTCAATTGAAAATCTTCGATTTAGATTTTATATTGAATAAGAAGAAGAAAAAAACGTGTGAATTAAAGAATCAAATGTGTGTTCTTTGCTCAGCAATCATGTCTAAATATTCAAAAAAATAATAAAAGAAAAAGCTTTTTTGTATGTTGTTAGTGAAGCAAAGCGACCACTATTTTTCTTTTGTCTGTTCGTTTGATTTTGGTATAGATGTGTATGTGTGTGAAAATAGTAAAGAGGACAAAACTATGGTTACAACATGTATTTAGAAGAATGCTGATAAATATTTTTTTCTTTCGTTAAATTGATAGATATTGATTGATTCTTTTTTTTTTCAAAAAAATTTTAAAATAAATAATTAAACAAATTTTAATTAATTAAACTAAATACAATTTTTCAGATATTTATTGACATGAGTTCATCATCAATTATTGAACCATCGTCAACTGACATTGAAGATGATCTAACAAATGTGAATTCGACTACAACAGAATCTCTTCCTAAAATTTCTGAAATTGACATTCGATTTACTATAGCTTTAGCTGTACCTGCTGGTAAGTTTTATCAAAAACTAATCATACAATAAAAATAACATTTATTCTATATTCAATAATAAGCTATACCTTATTTATGGTATTACATATATATTAGTTGTATGTCCGATCGTTTTTGAAGATTAACAATTTTTTTACATGTATGCTAGTTAAACTTCACATCGTAGTGCATATCCTATCCACTACAAACCTAATTTTACCTTTTATTTTCTTTTTTGCATTTTATTTGAATTTGTATCTTGAGTATGTATTTAGGACCACCTTTACCAAACGATTCATCTGTAACAAAAAATCCGACATCAAAAAGTAAACGAACATCTGAAGTATCAAAAGTACAAGTAAATAAATGTCCTTAGAAAAATTTCTTTGATTTATTTATTGTTTATCAATAGGGATATTATCGTGTTGAATATTCATTATTACCTGGTGCACCAAATGTTGCTTTTGATATTGTTGTTTTTCGAACAGCTGCAAAAATTTATCCTGATGGTCAAAAAGCTTTTCTTATACCGGTTTGGGAAGATGATAATGAAAATATTTGGATAGTTTGGACTTATATGTAATTGATTATTCTTTTTTTCTCAAATTCAAAATAATATCTTTCATTTAAAATAGTCATAAACTTGAATTAAATCATGAACGTTTATTAGCATTATTATCACATAAAATTCTTGTTAAAATATGGGATGGAAGAGATTTTTGTACAGTACGTACAAAACTTGATAAACCACGTATTACACGTGCTGTACCTCAATCAATAAGTAATTAAAATTGACAATTATTTTCAATTTATCTTGTATTTTAAATATAGATGGTGATGAAGATAATACCCCACAGAATATAGTACAAAATATGGCACAAAATTATGCAGATAAATGGGTAGCAAAACCATTATTACATAAATTACAACGAAGACTACCTATTCATATTCCACCTCCAACAGCATTTTTGAAGAAAAAAAGTTTGTTTATTAAATATTAAATTGAGTTCTTTTTTTAAAATCTATTATTATTATAGTCGATGATATGGAAGATGCACGACCATCAACACCTGCATTATTAGATGCATTACAAGAAAAATCTACAGAAAGTTTAAAGTATACTTTGTTTATTATATTCTAGTTATACGAGATTTTTCACACTATTTTAGCGGTGATTTCAAAACATTAAATACAAATCAAAATTTAAATCCTGGTATTTTAAAAAAAAGTCTAGAAAAAAGTGAAACTAAACCAGTAGAACCTGTCAGTCCCAAGAAAGGTTTTACATATATATGTTTTTTTATAATTTCGATAAAATATATTAAATGAATTATGTTAGGAACAAGATCATCGAATAAACAAAACGAAGAAAAGAAAGCAAATGGTACTGCTCAAATAATTGTACCAAGTAATTTAATCATTGCAGGTATTTACATTTTTTTTAACTCATATTCTATAATTAGTTAGATACTTTCTCTATCTGATTTTTGAGTGTTCCAATGAATTCAACCCAGATTTGCTTAGATTCTTACTTTCTCTGATGCATCTTGTACAAGCTAGATTGAATGATGTTTCGTAGAAAGAAGTGAAAAAGTTAACTATACGATTATTTCAAAATTTGTAGGATTTAAAATGATTACATGCCGTCTTGATGATAATCCATTATTACCAAAAGCTATTCAAGATTGTTTTGTTAGTATTAATATTGAAGATCCTCAATTAATGAATGAAGTTCTTGCAAAAGAATTTAATCCACTTACAGTAACAATATGTTATGTAGAAAATATGCCATCAACACCATTATCATATTCTGAATTAAAAGAAAGGTTTGATTTATTTAATTAAAAAATGAATCTTATTCGTCTATGTTCTTCTTGTAAACATTAGATGTGATCCAGTGTATTGTTGTTATGAATTATTTAATCAACCAGCTCATCAAACACTTAAAAAACCACAAGCACGCCATATATACTGGAATGATTTTCATTTATATTTAACAAGTAAGAACAAAAATTTTTGTTTTTATTTAAAATAATCTTAGATTTATTTTTCAGATTTAATAAACGAAAATTTAATGAGTCAATTTCGTAATTCACCTTATCTAAATATTGAACTTCATGATCGAGATGAATGTGAACATATTCGACGACGTGTTGCTAGTGTATTTGGATCGGAAAGTACCGATGAAAGCATTGGAAAAGTGTCCGGTAATTAAAACTAAGAATGTTTTTTCAGTATCTTTATTTTTTTTTCAAAAAAAAACAGGTAAATTAAAACTTCATAATTCAAAAAATGATTCAAATTGGAATCCACATGGTTGTGTTAAAATAGATTTATCCGAACTTTGGCTTGGACAAACATCACTTGAATTTTATATTCCAGTTGTTCCATGTCATGCACCTCAACTTCTTTCAGGCCGAGCATCAAATGCAAATCATACATTATCCGATGAACATACGTATATACAACAAGGAGATTTTCTTTCGAGTGGTACTCAAATGAAAATTCTTGTTAAATTAGCTAAACCATTTGTACCACCAGTTGAACATCGACTATTAGATGATCGAGAATTACGAACAACAACTGTAAAATTATTCTTAAGAAGAAGAAAGAAAAAAGTTTCATTTTAATTTTTATTTTAAGGTTGCACCATTTAATCGAATTGTTTTCATATTTCCTTATAATAATATGACATTTTTAACTGCTCTTCAAACTTCTATTCGAATAATTAATGCAAAAGCTCTTGACTTTGAAAATGAACCAGCACATATACAAGTAACTACTCTTTCAACATATAAATTAACTGAGTAAAGATTGATTTATTTCATTCAAAAACAAATCATACAATGCTTTTATTTTCTTATCTTAGCACTCAACAAGCGGATCCAAATCTAAATATAATAACTGGTTTCCATTTATTCGATGATGATCAACATATCTTTATATTGGAAGGCCGAAAAGAAGAAGCAATTGATTTACTTTTTGAAACTGTCCCAAAACCTAAAGGACAAAGTATGATAATATAGTATTAATTTCTTACTGAATTACTAAATTTCTTAAATAGATATTGAAATTCTCTATGATTCTTCCGTACATTTTAATGAACGTCTTTATGTTAAATTTGGTATTGATATAATGCATATTAGATTATCACGAACATTACGTAATATTGTTTCTCAACCATTAATATTCCTTCGAGATAATCTTACTAAAGAAACATTTGAAGCACTCGATAAATTACACAAAGTTTGTATTATTTTTTTTTCAATGAATTAAAATCTATTGATTTCTTTAAATTATAGCTTGCTCTTGTACATAAATTAAGTTCATCGGCTCGATATAAATTATTTCCAACTATGGAAATGGTTACATCAATAAATAAGGATTATGGTATACCTTTAACCGAAAATGAAATAAGATGTATTAAAATAACGTTATTATATATAAATATATATTATTTATTTTGAATTTCTTCAGTATTTGCACGTGATGATCGATTACCACCATCATCAGCACCACCACCATCGCAACGACCATTATCCTCAACACAAGCTGAAGAAGATAATAATATTATTCAAAATACTTATAGTTCAAATAATGTATTCATTCGAGAACAACCACAACGATCAATGGATGATACTCAATTACCGGATATAAATTTTCTAGCAAGAAATAAAGAACGTATTCGATTGGCTAGTTTAAAAAATAAGTATGAATTAAATGAATAATCGTATTTATTAAAGCATATAGTTCAATCTGAGAGAATAAAATAACAGTAAGATTAATTTCCCTTGTGGTATATATACCTGAAACTATAAAACACAAAAAAAAAAGATTTATATTAGTAATGATTGTTTTGATTGATAAATCACTCATGTCAACATATATATTTTTTTTTCTTTTCTTCTTCAGAGAAAATCGTCCAACTGACGATAGTGTGGCATTCGTAACATCAGGACCTATTTATCCATATAGTACACAAAAATTAAATTCAGCTGAAAATGCACTTGAACAAATGCGAACATATCTTAAACAAGTTTGATTGAAAAAAAAATTGATTTACATTTAAATAAAATTTGTTTCATATTTATAGAATCATCCTTCCGCATCCTGTTCATTTAATCCTGAATTTCCAACGCATGCTTATTCTGCATATTCCAATGAAGAATCATCAATGGATTTTCATCGAAAACTTCGTATACCATTTGATTTTAATGGAACAGAAAAAGATAAATATTCGGATAAAACATTACCAAGTTGGGTTAATTATCCAGGTTATCGTACAAATCGTGAAACAAATGTTCATTCTCAATTACCTGATCCATATCGACTTGTCGAATTATCAAAAGTAAATCTATGAAATAAAAAGAAAGAGAAAAGAAAACGCATTTCTATATAATTTAGCCAAAAGAAGAATGGTATGAACCAAATATAATTGATCATCAATCACCTATTCATGATCGTATACCATGTAAATGGGTTTATCGTAATGATGATTTTGATCGATGGAAACGTGCACCTCCATTATCTCGAAGTATTTCTGTTCATTGGCAATCAACAAGTGAACTAAGTAGATCAGCATCATTACCAACAACACCAACATTAATTGTTGGAGATAAACGAATGCATTTCTTACGTCGAGCAGCACATACAGAAATGTTAATGGAAGGAAGAACATCTTCTTCACAATTAGATCGTTTAACTGGATTACTTAAAGATAAACCAGTCAAAAAAGGACTTCTATTACCAAAATCATTTAATAGGTAAATAATCATATTAAAGTTTAGTTGTAAATATGAGTTCAAATAAATTTAGATATTTAAAAATATATTCAAATAAATCATAAAAAGTAGGCGTTTGATCATAATAATAATAACAAAACTTCTAATAACTCGACATCTTTTTATTCTTGTTTGTGATGTTAATTTTCCTTTGCGTAATATGATGATTTTATTTTTTTTATTCTAGAGATAATGAATCTCAATCAATACTATTTGATACATAAACAATTCTTACTGATCGACGTATTTATTCAGCAACAATAGTTAAAGTTTGAAAATATCTGAAATAATTTACCTGTTTAGATATGATTTTTTTTATTTTGTTGTTGTTGTGAATTTTCATTGTAAAATAAAGATGAAGTACTTTTAATCAATGATATGTCCATAGCATTTTCGTTAATTACAATTCAAAACGAAATGCGTATAGACAATCAATCGATCTTTGAGCAAGTATGGATGAGTAGGAATTCATATATGTATGTCGATTGAAGAAATAATTTTCTTCATTCTAAAAAAAAAGAAATGAACGAGTTTTTATTCTCTCTTTTTTTTCTTCTAATGACTTACATGATCATTATGTTACAAGACAAATAACGACTTGTTACTCAGCTCGTTAATCACTCAACATCGTAACCATTCCTTTCAGTTCTTTTTGTTTTACTACCGTACTATATTTCTTATAATAATCCTCAATGCTTATGTAAAAATATAGAAGTTTAAGTCAATTTCTTCGTCTTATCATAATCAGTTTTTTTTGTATATACTCAAAAAAATGGGGTTATACTTTACAGAACGAACATGCAATTTTTGATATTAACCAATGAATACAATCAGTTCTTCGATGATTGTTTCTATTGAAAGAATGTTGATGGTAAATGTCGTATTTTACCTATAATTTGATTGATGAGTGCCATACAAATAGACAGAAAGCAACGAATATAGACAGTTCAATGACAATCCAGGTGGTTGTAAATAGTACGCAAAGCAATGTAACAACAGATGTTGATCAAATGATAAATGACACTCAAGATTATAGTTTAAGAAAGAGAAGAAAGAAGAAACTTATGATTTGTATCGTATGATTTGCTACTCCTCAGTGAATTTGATTTCTTTCGTCTTTGCTATTATAGTTGGGTATTAATATGAGAGAAGAAGAGAGAGAGAGAGAGAGTAACAAAAAAGAAAAACTTTACCATCATTTTCTCATTTAAAAGACGACAAGAGAATATTTCTATTGAAAGAAAAGAAAGTGACTATAATGGTTTGTTGATGAGTTTCTATTTTGTGATCAGTGAAGCTAAGCACGTTTATATGATGCGAAAGGTAAAGAATAGCATTCATTCACATACACACTCATATATATATATATATTTATATTTAGAATTCTAAAACGTTTTTTAACGACTATGGAGGTGTTTTATTTTGATTTTATTCATCATGATTCAATAGAATTGATTTGTCATCAAGAATAAATGAAAGAAGAAAAAAAGAATATAGTCAACTCATCTGAAATTCAAAAGAGAAGAAACACCAGCTGTATTCGATTTTACTAATAAATTTAATCAAGAATAAAATTATTTTATTTTTAAGGAAAAGAAAACGACACTACGAATGTATTTTCTCAATTGTTGTAATCTTTGTTTTGTGCAAGATATAATATGAAATATTGAATGATAGATTTTCTATAATTTCTTTCAAAGATTGCTCGAATATTATATCTTGTCATATTTGTTAATAATAGAAAAGTTTGTGAAAGATTAAAAAAAGACTAATTTTAAATGAAGAAACGTGAACATAAATTTAATAGAATAGATTTTATTTGTATTGTTATTTCTTTCAGTCAGCAGGGCAAGCAAACATAATAACGATTTAATTGTTAATCTTAAATAATAATATGAAAGATTATTGTATATAAAATATATATGATCTTTATACGGTTAATTAACCAGAAATAATATATTTTTAATTGAGAACATAGGTATGAATTAATTTCTTGTCAACAATTCACATGTAAAAACCTAAAATCTCAAACATTATTGTATACTAAAAACTAAACATTCAATCATTAAAATCATTATCTATTTATCTTACAAGAAAAAAAGAAGATTAATTATCGCAAGTCTTATTTATATTTCTTATTCAGAAAAAAAGATGAATTCGCACGAAAATCTGATAAATAATATTCATACATATAGATTCATAACTCGTTCCTCCATCTATTTTTATTAATAATTTCTATTGGTATATTTCTATTAATATAATGTAACTGAGTTTTTTTTATAAAGAAAGCATTCCGAAGTTTGGAATTATTTTGCTTGTTACTATAGAAAACAATTTTATTTAATGACATCAATACAATCTATTCAAATAATATAAAAATCAACAATTATCATGATTTATTAGATAAAATCCTTTATCATCTAAAGAAATATTTGATCTGATATTCTTCTTAAATAATGTCAATTCACTTTAACTATGCTGTACTACGAGTTTTTTTGCAGGTAAAACAACATGTTATCGAGTACGTCAAATTACAATTAATTGTGTTCTGTTACTATTGAGTACAACAAAGAAAAGAAAAGAAATCTAACTGAAGACTTTTTTGATTAAGCACCTGATTGAAATGTCGTTGTTTCATTTTTTTTCTCTTTTTCTTCTATAAATCTTGATGCAACTATAAAATTCGTTTTCTTTTTGTCATAGATTTATTCGTAAAATTTGATTTATTTGAAACACAACATTTGAAATCGAAATATGTCATCAGAAAAATCACCAAGTGGCGAACAATCAACTGAAACTGAACGACAAGGTACTGCTGGTACTGTTGGTGAATTAGCAACACAAAATCAAACAGGAGGTACTGCAGGACAAACTGGTAGTGGAACAGGTACTGCTGGACAAACATTACCAACAGCATCAGCTGAAAGTAGTATGACAGCTACATCAAGTAAATATTCTTTTTTTTTATATATTTGAAATTTTAATATATATATTTTAGGTACAGGTGGTGCTGCTCATACAGATTAATTCAATAATAAACTCAGAAATAAAAACAAAACTTTTTCTTTTTTATTAAAATTTTGTTCGTAACTTTTTTATGTTGTATTTGAAAAAGAAAAAAAATTTGGTAGTTTAATGTATATCCTCCCTTCAATCATTTTGTACATTATTTATTCAAGTAATATATTCTTTTTATTTTGAACAAATAAACTGATTTTTTTTTCTCTCTTTAATATCATTATAATATATATGTAAAGAAAAATGTCAGTAGTCATAGTTATATTAAAGCACTTAAATTGGAACTATACAAACAAATGTATTAGGGTGATTTATGATCTTTTTATTCTTGATTATTCAGTTGTATATCACATACATATGTAATTCACAACTAAAGAGTAACATATATATACAATATAGTATATAAACCAGACACTTTGTCAAGGTTGTCTTATTCGAACCAAGGTGATGATCGTATGTGTGACGCATGCTTAATTCATTATCGCATCAGGTCACGAACAGGTAATCTCCGCTTGTTATATTTCCGATATAGAAAAGATGTCAAGTAACCTTGATAATAGAGAGAGAAGAGAAGAGAAGAGAAGAGAAATTTGTTTCTTTGTTCTTTTACTTATTGATAAGTGTGTCGTTTTCAATTAATAATATTAGAATCTTATTTTATTCATTTAAATCATTTTCAAATTTCTCTAGAGTCAAATAATATAGATTTTCCCATTAGACATTTACATAATCGTTGTTAAAAAAATGAAAGATCAAAGAAGAAGAAGAAGAAGAAGAAGAATGAAGAGAAAAAAAGAAAATATATCATTTTGATAGAATATGTTCATATATGATAGTTGTCTAACAAGTCTGTTCTCTGGCATTCACTCTTCCGTGTGTAAGATTCTATTGACGCGTAAAGCTTGAAGGTCATTGTCGCACGCTGTAAATGTGAAAGAGAAAAAGAGAAGCTAAGCGTGCCGTTCGAGATGATGATGATGATCATGATGATGATGGTAGTGGTAACGAAGAGAGAAAAAACATAGTAGATATAATTCCATCTTTTTTTTTTCTTTTTGCTTTGTCTCTTGTGCTTCTATATTTGTCTCGTCCGATACTTTATCAAGAAGAAGACGACGAAGACTTGGATTCGAACAGTACTCAACTAAACTCAAATATTTTTCCAAGGTATGAAGATTAACGAAAAAACTATCGGAAGTAGATTAAATTCTCATAAACTTAATATGATAAAAAATATGTCATTGTCTCAAGAGAATAATAGAATGCGCTGTTTAATATTGAATGTTGATAGTTAGATAAGTATATTTATATATATATATATATTTGTTATGATTAGTAGATAAATATATATTAAAAACGAAAGGAAAAATATCGATGACATATAAAATTTCTTTAATTCCTGTCCCTACTAATAAATCATCAACTTCGACCCGTCAACTATAAGAAAAAAATATATAGACTGAGATATCTTAGATATGTTTATGTATATTGATTAAAACCACATGGGATTATTAGCAAAAGAACGAACGATCAGTCTAAATTACAATACATTCTCTTTTTATTTTCATTGAAAGATGTTAGTGGATGTATTGTCACATCTACATAAATATAAATGTATCATATCATCAGATTGCTCGCAATAGAGGACGTTTATATATATATATCAGATCGAGTATCTCATGCGTTGTTTTTGATGTTGAAATATATAAGCTTTTGTCCTGCTTTACGGAACGATGTGATTGTAAAACTTTTCTATATTGTAGATAGATGGTACAAATCGTTTTTTATTATTACAATTTTGTTCTTTTTGCGGACTAAAAGAATTAGTAAGGAAGAGACAAGTTTGTTTTGTTGCTTTTTTTCTATTTCTTATATTATTATTGTTATTATTATGATTAGTTTTGATTTATTTTTGTTTTTGTTGCCAGTGTCAGGAGAAGATTAGTAGAAATAGAAGATTATAGAAGCAATCGGCTAGAAATATGCATGCAAATAAAGAACTTTCAGATTATGAGATTCTTTTTTCTCGTTTTCTTTTTTTTTTCTATATAAATTCTTGACATTTTTCTGCTTTATCCTCTTGCTTCTTCTTCTTCTTCTTCCTTTTTTTGTCTACAAAATATTTTGGTTGACAGAAAGAAAGCAAAAAGAGAAAGGGACATTCATATACAGCTGATTACCTGATGACTATAGTCCGTTTGTAGTTTTCGAAGACTTAGAAACGATTTCAAATCATCAAAGCGAAGCATTAAAATAAAAGAGAAGTAAAGATTATTACGTTAGTAACGTTTGTTTGAAAATGTAGAAATATAATAGAAAGGTAGGTCATGTTCAAGCATATGATCATATGTAATATATCGAAATATTTGGCTGTGTATGTTTTAACAACATGAAAGGCTTTGTATTCTTGCTTAATTGATGAGTACCGTTTCATATATATATTGATCCACTTGAAAATGAAGAGGCACATTACTCTCAATCTCATTCAACCACATAGATTATATGCTGATGTTGATCGGATTTCTTCTTCCTTTCTTTTCTTTTCCTTTTTTTCGTTTTCTTTTTTTGTTCTACGACTTCTCATTTTCCATTCACTTGAATTATTTGATGCTACCTTGAAGAAGAAGAAGAAGAGAAAAAATTTTCTACTTATATTTATAGTTCTATATCATGCACATTTCAATCTGTCAATACTTTTATATACCTATTGATTTAAAAAGTATACTAATGATAAGTGCTTTTTAATCACATCAAATGAAAGACAACTATTATGTGAATATTTTTAATGTATGTGTATAAGTATTGCTTTTAGGCAACGAATGACTTAAATATTAATAAGTAATAATTTTCTCACACGTTTTTTTATCATTGAAAATAACATAGAGAAAATAGTGTAAATCATAAAGGAATAAATTAGTACTATTAATACTAAATAAAATACAATAACAATATATGTCCTACAATTTATTTTTTTACATCTTCTCTCTTGTTGTTATTTTTGCTTCATTTGTTATTGATTAGTAGATGTATAACTATAGTTTAGAATTATTTATGTATTTAGATACGATCATCTGTAGGTGACACATTGTCGAACAACAATATCACCATACGTAGAAAAATAGTCTGGCTTCTACACTGATCTGTGTTTTAAAGTAAGTTACTTATAGATAAGCATATATATATATATATATACCTCTGTTTTAGAACTTTGTCGTGTCGTGTGTTGTCCCTAGTATTTGTTTTACTTGTATTATTGGTATCGAGGCCTGAGCATCAATGCTTAGGCCTCGTTGTTATGCCACCAGAAGGTGAAAGCAATGTAGAATGTCGTTCAGTTGATATACAACTTTACACCTGGTTAGGACCCGGTTTTGAATCAGGTGAATGTTGGTATCAAGGACATCGTTTTATAAATGGTGCCACCTGGGGCCGTATTGATATAGCCGATGCTCCATATTGTGTTTGTGAACAAGGTAAAGTTCGTATTTTCTATAGTCAATTAAAGGCAGAGAAACCTGCTGTTATTGCTGCTGATTCATTAACAATACTCGGACCAGTACATGGATCATCACCTTCATCAAATGATTTAGCTCATTGGCCTATTCCAAATACACCTACTATACAACAACGATCAGTTCTTTGTTCAAGTAATCGACTTGGTGTACGTGTTCGATCAAGAGATGGTTGTGTTGGATGTAAATGTTCAAAGAATGGACATTGGCTATGTAGAAAACCACCATCGACATTATTAAAAAAAAATCGAACAATAAATGTACGACAAAGAACAAATCGGCCAAGAACAACAACACCGAGGTAGTAACTTATAGTTTTAAGAGACAAAAATTTGTTTTGACTAGAAAACGGAAATGAATACGTGCTATAGAATAATATAGTTCGTGACTTCCGATAAAAGAAAACAAAATTTAATAAATCATTCTCTACTGAATACATATTCTTACTAATTGAATTTTTTTTCCTTCTCTTTACATAGAAATCATCATTATCCATATAGTGATTCATCAAATTCAGTTAATGTTCGACTTCATGTTCGTTCATCACATGTACGACCTCAATGTTCAAACAATACAATACCACAATATTGTGTATTAATTGAACGTATATCATCATCATCACCATCAAATATTAGTGAAAAATCCAGTCGTTATATTGAAATACCTCGTGAAACATCATGGATTGATAAGAATAAATGTACCCAATGTTCCTGTACATTAAGTGGACGTTTAACATGTGAATTTCTTCATGATAGATGTTCTCGTGCTTGTCTTATACATAAATCACAACCGATTTCAATTATATATTATTTTCCATCAGGTTCAAAATGGCTCACACCACCAAATGATAAATGTCGTTCTTGTATATGTGTTAATGGACAAAGAACATGTATTAATTGTGATCAAACTGTTAAGATTGATATTGCAGCTGCTGCTACAGCATTAAATAATATTCAGAAACGACCTGCCATTGGTGAATATAGTCTATTACCATTAAAATCACAATCTACTAAGACAACACCATGTTTATTACAAATTAATACGAGTTCACATCGTTTAATTTTACCAGGACAAAAAACATGGTTTAAAGAACGTTGTTATATCTGTTCAAAACACTCTAGTCGACTTCTATCTTGTTAAATCAATATTATTAATAATCAAAATTTACATTCACATCTTACCATCATAGAAAAAAAAACAGTCGACTTAGTCACATTAAATTTCTTTTTGTTCTTTCTCATTGAGTAGATTAGTGTATATGTATCTTTGTCTTCTGTTATGTGTTGTAAAAGTAAACAAGATAAAATGTATAATTAAAATTTCATTAAATTGTCATTTACATTTAAAGAACGAAATAATTATTATTATTAGTACATTCCCTATGGGTATTTTTGATAGAAACATAACCAATTATTAAGAAAAACATCGTATCTCTAATGTTTATTGTTTATATATTTTACAAAAATATAAAGTATTTATTAATATTCAACATATATATATATATATCAGATTTCTTTTCTTATGTTTAGCATATGTTATTAAGAAACTAGATTTATACTAGTTAATATTTTTTTTATCTATCAATCATGTAGTTGAATGATAATTTCATTGTATTGGTATGCATTATCAATCATTATGTGAGACATAGAACAGAATTTATTATCAATGTATGGTAAAGTAAGAAAAAAAAATATCTGTTCAATAGTGAGCTTTTTTTCTCTTATATAATTGACTAATAAGATTATTAGATCATATATTAAGAAAATTAGAATGTTATCGATTCGTTTCACGTAGAGACTTTGTAAAAACTATACTGAATATTTCTATATTTCAACGAAATCGAATACAATAAAATAATTTAGTCAATACTTTACTATGTGTATTATATTATATGCATCCTTTCACATACAGAACAATAATAAATTGGAAAGTAATTATGTGTATTTAAATCATGTGGATAATAATCTTGTTTGAACTAAATACTGTAATAGTTTATTTATTCTTACACTTAAGTTGTGTATGACTCGTTAATGTCTTTTCTATTTGAGATGTATTACTAATAATTGTTATTAAGTATATGTCATTTTCAAGTTATTGCTATTGTTTTCTTAGACGAAGAATCTGGAAACAAACTAGTAATGGTCTATTGTGGAGGAGTTATATATATTGATCTTGATTTGTCGTTGCCGTATGATTAAATATACATTAGAAGTTTCTTTATTGATGTATACAAACTGAATTATACGGGTACTTAATTTAAAAATTATATCATCTTTTCTAATAACATTATGCTATTAATATATTCTATTATTTTTTTAGATCATACGTATCATCCAGAGACATATTATGAACGATGTGAATTATAAACTATCATACTGATTTTTTTAAACATGTGTTAATCGAATTTTATAGTCTGTTTAAATCATAATTCTAACATACATAATCGACAGAAACTTTGAAACAATATATTTCAATTAGATACATCTGTTATAATAATTATTAATGATTTAACCGTGGTACTGATAGATTATTTTTTGTATTACAATTTTATCATTTATTAGGTTGTATATTCATTTATTTTCATAAGACAAAAAAAACAAACAAAAAGTTTTTAAAAAGTCCATATTTAGCCCATAAATTCTCTTGGATCGCCTTTTGTAATAGATTTGCCACGTCTTTCAAATGCTGCTGATTCACTAGATTTCTCATCATCATTATTATTGTTAGCAAGCATATTGCGTATATATCGATCGAGAGCACGTGATCGATAAGCTCGTTCTAAATGATAATTACTTGGGAAATACAATTCATCATCATGTTCATTATCATAGGATCGATCAATATATCTTGAACTAGATTCATAAAAGAAGAATAATATTTTTGAAAAACAACAAATGAATTTGTAATTAACTTACTTAATTAGTACAGCAATAAATGCCAAAAGAAACAAGCAATAATGATAAACTTGCATGATGCTAATCGTTAGAACGTATAGATTTGTGTGTGTATGTATCTGAAAAATAGAGAATACTTATCTTTTTCCTTCTATATATATATATATATATATGTATATATACACGTAAATGTGGGCGTTCTAACATAAGACACTAATTGACAATATAGTGGTAACAAGACATGTTTATGTTAGGAAATGAATTCGACGTCAAGTGATATTAACTTAAAATGACTCTATGGATAGCTGATTAACTTGAAGACTCATTTATTAACATTCTATAACAATATTTCAATTTACTTTTTGATAATATTCATGTTATAATGCTATGTTAATTTTCATACGCTCGTTTGTTGCATTCAATTACATAAGAAATATTAATAGGGTTTGTGATTATCTACTTACTTCACCAGATTGTACAACAGAAATGTTTTCTGGTTTTATTTTTTGTTAGAACTCTGGTCTATAGACATTACAATGGATATACATGACCTTTCCTTCTAGACATATCATTTTATTTCGAGGACAAAGAGAAAAATCTATCCATTGATGTGAAAAAATTTAGAAAATTTGTTTGCCGTCAATGCTTCTATATTAGCATATTTATCGTTGAATAAGATTGAATAGAGATTCATTATGTTTCATATATAATTAACATCGTTGTTCAACATTATTTATATTAAAAGAAAGTTAGTAGTCATCAAATCCTAGAAATATTAAAAAAATCAGATAGACAATTTTCGCGGACAATGATAAGATCTTTGTTGTCTTCCAAAAGTAATTTCTATTTTTATCATATCTTGCAATCAAACTATTTTAACTTACGGAATATTACTGTTTACATTAACCTTGTAGTTAATTGCCGAGTACTTTTCATCTTAGGGTACTTAAACATTATTTATTTCTAGTTTATTAAAGTAGTCATGATCAATTTATTGAGTATAGGTAAACAACAAGTAAAATATAATGTATATAGAATAGTGATTGATAGTTTTTATGTATCTGGTAAGATTTGATTTCTTGCAAAATCTTGTCGACATCGACCTAAATGAAGTTTAAAGAGTACATAAAGAAATTGTCGTCGAAATCGTTCCGATACACAAACATAGATATAAAACGCACTCTAAATATATAAATTATCAAGATACAAAATAATATAGAATTAATTCTTACAGAAAATGGTACATAATATAAAGCACCAGTAATACTCAGTGCAAGTTCTATTTGTGCAGCATAGTTTGGAGCTAAATTTATATTTAAATTAAGTTGTAATGCATAAACAACAATATAAGGTATAATAAAGAATAAATTGTAGACATCTTGTACAAGTACCATTATTGTTAATTGTTTATCTGTTTCTCGTCTTACCAATGGCATTGTACGATATGTTAAATGTTGTACATTACGGTAGGCTAGAATTCCAAATAACACTGTAATAATTACAGGCATAGAACAGAGTAGTATAATTAATGTAAAATAACTATAATATTGTTGAAAAGTATCATTTGTAATTGTACATATTGTTGCATTTGTTGAATTTGATATGTCTTGATTATAATAATACAATATTGGAATACCATGTATTATCCAAATAATTGTAAATATTACAAATAGCCAACGTGCTAATTTAATATTACTAAAACGTTGTAGAAATGGACTCGAGCATGTAGCTAAATATTGATCAATAGTTGCAAGAGCTATACAAGTGTAAAATATAGCTGAACATACTTGAAAAAAATAATATCGAAGTTTACAATATGTTAAAGAAGTAGTTGACCAATCAACACTAAACGCAACATTTAAAGTACGAGCAAATAAACCAAAGAATATTTGAATTATACTGACAAATGACATAGCAAGTAAATAGAATGCACATGAACTGTCACGAAATATTTCAAGACTAAGAAAAACAATAATATTAAGAATATTACTTGTAACACCAAATATTAAAATAATCGAACGTAAGTATATATTAACTTCTTGTGCTGCATATGTAAGCGATAGAAGACTTGGACTTGACATTTTTTTCTGTATGAAATAAGATTATGATTTGATATTTTATAACAACAATTTTGAAAGTATGCACATTAGAATAATTAAAGTCACTATCTCTTATAAAGAAATTAAATATAATCTAATACATGCATAGCTAACGATTTTGATATGTTTATCATTATACATGTGCGTGTTTAAAGTATACTTCATCAGTAGATGTTATAATGACCATATTTTCTATTATTAAAATCTATAAGAATCTTATAATTACTATATATTTTTATCAATTTTAATGTACAAAAAAGAATAAAATGTAATCAATATTTAATTTCACACTGTTAGGACATTTTTATGTGTAGTACACCAGTATACAATTACATATTGTCCCATATATATTGATGATATGAAAACTTTTTACTATAATAACTATTCGGAAATCTTAGAGAATTTATTTGTCTCGTGTAACAGATCAATTCGCAAGCATTGTATGATAAGCGAAAAGTATAACATATATTGTGATGAAAAATGCACGATTGTAGAAAATGTATTTAATCATATTGCTTAATCTCAAAAATTGATATCTGTAGCCAATTATTATCCATCTTGAGGGTGGGTGTGGGTGTGGATATTGCATTAATCATACACCCACTCCCGTTCTCTTAAAACTAAATTATCAGGACAATTATTGAAAAATCTCGTTTATTATGGAAAGAACTTCATTACATTTGATCATTTCACTTAGAAAAAAAGAGCACTCATATCCTTTTCTCTTATGAACAGGATACTAAACGTTAAATGTCACAATTGTTATTGTTAATCATAAATTTCTGAACTCTATTATTATTTGAATCCACTACAATTAAATTTCCTTTGGAATCAAAACGAATTCCTCGTGGTTCATTCAAATGATTCGACTCGTTGCCTAGTTCGCCCTTAACACCAGCAATGATTTGTAGTTTATGTGGATTGTTCATAGACATTTTGACGATTCGATGGTGTTCACTGTCGGCAATCATCACAGCCCTATTGTTTGGATCTGAATCGGGAATCAGAACAAAGTCATAAGGACTGT